GCGCCCCCCCCCCGCCCCCAGCCCACTGGGCCTGCTTCTCCGGGGCGGCAGGAAGGGGGAGCGCCTTTGGGCTGCGCTCTCTCTCTCAAATCCCTGGAGGGTTGGGAAACTTTCCTATTTCCAGGAGAGTGTCAAAAATGCTGGCATAGATTTCCATGCACTGGAGTTTACTTTTAAGCAGAGCCCTGTAAGAATACAAACGTATACCCGTGGACGTGGCTATCGACCGGTACCCAGGAGAACCCTGGCAGGAAGGGGGAGCGCCTTTGGGCTGCGCTCTCTCTCTCAAATCCCTGGAGGGTTGGGAAACTTTCCTATTTCCAGGAGAGTGTCAAAAATGCTGGCATAGATTTCCATGCACTGGAGTTTACTTTTAAGCAGAGCCCTGTAAGAATACAAACGTATACCCGTGGACGTGGCTATCGACCGGTACCCAGGAGAACCCTGCGGGTACCGATTTATATCCACAGGGATACGAACTTGGGCCCTACTTCTAAGGCTCTGCAGCAAACCTGCCAGGCAGTGAGGGAAACACAAACCTGCTGGTGTTTATTAGCATGTGAGTAGCCCAGGGAGGCTCCCACAAGGCCCCAGTGCGCTCGGCGCCGCACAAACACCGTGCCCTGCTGCAGAGAGCTTGTTTTCTAAACAGACAAGACGAAGGGCAGGCGGAAAAGAGGTGTGAAGAAACCCGCCCAAGGCCAGGCTGCAGGACAGTGGCAGAGTCAGGCAGGGAACCCAGGTTTTCAGAGTCCCAGGCCGCTAGAGCACACCGTGCTCCTCTTTCGCTCCACTCACGTCTAAGCGCTGCTGACGGGACGGATTAATCTGTGGCCTTTGTGGCACGGTGCCGTTACTGACAGTCCTCCCCAAAAGAAAGGACACCCCCACCCGTCCTACACTCGGCCAGCTCAGCTCTGCTGGGCAAGCGGTGGCCGAGGCTGGTGTGGAGGACAGGCCTGAGGCCTGCCTGGGTAGAGCGGCTGGGGAAAGGGGAATGTGCGGCCTGTGTCTGAAGGGGAGGACTCATCAGGAAGCGACTATGAAAGGTCCCAGTCTGCAGAGAACGGGCAGAGTGGTGCGCAGGGAAACAGGGTTATTTAGGGACCACCTGTGGAAAACAAGGCAAGGGAAAGCACCAGCGGTGGCTGGAGCCTGGGGCTGTAGGACAAGATCAGCGTTCCAGCTCTGAAACTGTTTCACCACGTGGCCTTTGGCAAGTCACTTACACTCACTGCATGTCAGTTTCCCCACCTACTCCCTTTGCATCAGCCTTTCCAGAGCACCTGGAAAAGCATGGCTGAAAGGCATGACACGCACAGATTCCTTGTTCACAGCAGAATTCTTTCCAGAGCCCCTCCAATTTTGTACTGCACCCGGCTTTGATCAGTTTATAAAAGCTGGCGCTTGGGGATTTGAACCCACTTTCTGTATTCTGCCTCTTCTTTTTTAGACAGATAGACATCCGTCGCGCCCTTTGCTCAGAGTTAAGGTCTCTTTCCACCGCCTACCCACTGTTTGAGAGTGGGCAGCGCTGCCACAGCTCAGAGGAGAAACTCAACGGCAGCAGGCACTTTGTCATATGAATTAACAAGCCACCCCAGAGCTGAAAACCAGTCTAAATAAAGCAACATGTTCAGTCTTCTAGACAATGCTGCTCAACATGAAAACTAAGCTGGATGTCTGAACCCAAACAAAACAAAAATCTGTCAAAAGGAAAACGTTTCCTATTACTCATACAGCCACTGCCAAGAAACGCATTACAATGTTGTCCCTGTTGCATCAAGCCGCTGAGATCTGAAGTGTGAACAGCGTGAAGTATTCACCTAGGTGGATCTCTGAGCAAATTACACACAAGCAACTCTATAATAACTAAGTCTGCTATCTAGCACTTCCAAGCAGCTCTCTGACCAACCAGTGTGCAAGGCAATGATGGGATGTATCTATCTGTTAAGGGGAGAGATGTCAATTGCACGTTTTTAAGCATTTACTGTAAAATCTTACAATTAAAAAAAAACCTGTCGCAACCCTTTCACAGCGAAGTCGTCGTTTGTTCATTCACGGAGACGGTGACACTGTCTGGTTTGAACAAGTAGCCCCTGCTCATACTCTTCTGGGCACACCTGGGATTGGATTTTGCTTCTGTTGGGCTAGAAACAGGGTATCTTCCCCATCTCTCTTGAGAGCGCAAAGACACGCCACTTACACACCCACCCTGGGCACAGTGTCAGCCTGAAGCATTTTCCTGCCAACTTCTCCAACAGCTGCAGTTTAGAAACACTTTTGGAAAACACTGAGGAAATTCTACATGGCGTTTTTCGGGCCCAATCCTGACAGGAGCAAAAGCTCCCCCAAAACTAGCAGGAGTCGAGGCGGCTGAGGCTTTTCACAGAATTGGGCCCACAGTTCTCACGTTGCCATTGTATGCTCTGCATTCAATGCTGAGAATGGGTAAATCAAAGCTGAGACAAGACCTAGCAAAACCCATATCCTTAACTTTTCGTGTACCGTATAGGCTACGGATGTTTATACATGCAGAAGCACGGTAATAGATCATCTTTAAGCTTAATTAAGGAGGCGAGTCAACAAATGATAATCCACATTGAAATCATTTTGGTAACAGCAGCCATCTGAAAATGAGTAATTGTCCCGCAACCATTTAACTCAAACAAAGATTTACAAACTTACCTTCCAACTCTGACCGTCCGCTGTGGAAAGGAACCATGCTGCTAAGAAGGAAAACAGCAACCCAGGCGGACGCATTTTCATGCTTTTACAGATGGGACCCTTTTCTTGAAGGGGGGGGAGCGTGTTGGTGTAGAGGATGCAATTTCTGTAAGATAAGACCGCCTACTAAGAATCAGATCCAAGAAAAACTAGAGGTTACACAAACAGGGAGAAAATACTTTCAAAAGCTGGATCTCCTATTCCAAAGTATACAGAAATTATTCTGCTACTTTTAATGTCAAACATGAGTCAACAACAGCTTCCCCCCCCCTCACACACACACACACACACACACACAACCCTGTAAGTAGGTGGTTTACTGAAAACAGGAACATCTACGGATTTCCTCCCACATATCAGTTCAAAACAGATGGAAGGAAATCCTTCGTTTTCAACTGATTGGAATGAAATATGTTAACTGTATCCTTAACTGGAGGCAATTCTAAATGGCAAAAGATACACTGTGGAATCTGGATGGCCCATGAATTTTGTTTCGTTGCTGATAATACAAGCCAACGAAAAAACATCCACCCATTCCATGTGGCAGCAGATATTTGTTCTATACGGCAACTCTTTGCAGATGGTCTATATGGTATGTAATAAAGATAATGCACATAAACCATAATGGGCCCCTTTGTTGGGATTTGATGTTTATTTAAAATGCACGAGTTGCTCAACAAGAAGAGTGTTACATTTAGCATACCAGCTATGCTATATATTCATTATTTTCCAAACTTGTTACTGGAAACCCAATTACTTCACAGACGAGGTGTTTAACACTTGGCATAATCAAGCCCTGAAATTTAAGGGACATGGTTGGCCTTGCATAGTTTGCCACTAAATCACTCTTGCTGGGGGCAGTGCAGAATATTTAAGAAGATTCACAACGTGTTTGACAATCGTTTTATCTACTAATAGCATTCACTGTATTTAACGAATGCAAGAATGTGTCCAAATAGAATCATAGCAGACTAGAACTGGAAGGGACTTCGAGAGGCCGTCTAGTTCAGTCCAGTCCAGTCCCCTGCCCTCACGGCAGGACCAAGCACTGTCTAAGATCATCCCTGATAGATGTCTGTCTAACCTGCTCTTAACTATCTCCAGTGATGGAGATTCCACAACCTCCTTAGGCAATTCATTCCAGTGTTTAACCACCCTGACAGTTAGGAACTTTTTCCTAATGGCCAACCTAAACCTCCCTTGCTGCAGTTTAAGCCCACTGCTGCTTGTCCTATCCTCAGAGGCCATGGAGAACAATTTTTCTCCCGCCTCCTTGTCACACTCTTTTAGGTACTTGAAAACCGCTCTCATGTCCCCTCTCAGTCTTCTCCTTTCCAAACTAAACAAGCCCATTTCTGTCAGTCTTCCCTCCTAGCTCATGTTCTCTAGACCTTCATCATTCTTGTTGCTCTTAGCTGTAGATGCTATTATACTATGACAGTGACATTCAAATGCGTCCATAAAAGCAAATCAGTCCATTTTGAATGAGTGTGCACAACACTGACAGTGCGTATTTGTATTTAATACTTGTATAGCACCTTGCACGTACACACTCCCAGAGCACGTTTTACTAGATGGTACTTGACATACACATCTCCCCAAGACAGGACCCAAAATAGAAACGTAACAGATACTGGACTTACTAACGCTGGTAACTGGCTCCCTCCTCTCCCCTCCAGCAGAGGCAGCGGCTGGTCTCTCACTGCAACAGGAAACAAATAAAGCAAAAAACGATTCCCCGGCCTGTATAAGTCGTCCCAGCTCCACCACTCCCTGCTAGCCTGACAAGTTGATTCACTCCATTTGCCCCAGGATGCAACTGTAACCCTGGGACTAGGGCCAGGCGGGCAGCCCATCAGGGAGGAGGACTGGGGAGAGCCAGCCTTTGCGCCACACCTAAGGGGCGGCAGCGGGTGCCAGCACAGACCCCGTGCTGGGATAGAGGCTGACAGGAGGTGGCAGTGGCCAAAAGACAAGCTGATATTGGGGAGAGGGGGAAGGGAAGGTGATGCATCCGGCCTCCCCTCTTCCAACATCAATATCACCCAGCCCTGCTCCTCTTCAGCCATCATCTCTCCCGCTCTGTGCCCACCCCACTCCGGCCTCCTCCTCGAGAGCAAATTCTCCTGTGGCCTCCGTAGATCCCAAGCAGAAAGGGCCAGCAGCCTGAAGAGGTTCCCGACCGGGAAGTCCTGCCTCACCTTTCTGTGTGGATGAAAAGCAATCTCCCCCTCCAGCCCAACCGTGACCATCCTCGCAGGCTCCTGGGTCCCCCAACTGACAGACATCCTGTTTGGGTTACCCTTCCCCCTGTGAAGGCCCTCCCTTCGACAACAGAGAAAGTACCTCAGTTTCCTGAGGAAACAGGCCAGCTACCCTAGAGCGAACACTTCCCAAGCTCATTGTAGATGACCTGCCGCCTCACCAGGAAGATCAGAGCAATAGGATAGGTCTGGTATAAAATAAAGTTATCTGCTAAAATACATGGGCTTTGTTTGCTGCCACACCGCTACCACATGGCAGTCAAAAAGTTAAAGGGCTAAAACTACGAGCCCCAGTCACGTTACTAGTCGTGTTCAGTCATGTTACTTCTCCTTATAAGTAGTCGTTCTTGGTGAAAGTAAGGTTTCTAGGAACAAGTCCAATGCTCTCTGTAATCCTCACTACATATAGCTGAACTTAGTCTCACATCATATACAAATAGTCTCACATCATATACACATTCCTGCGCATCCAGAAATATAATCTATGCTATCATGTGCCAAAAGTGTCCATCTGCTATGTACATTGGACAAACGTCTCAGACACTTTGCCAAAGGATCAATGCCCACAAAACAGATATCAGACAGGATCACAAAGAAAAAACAGTTTCTTGCCATTTCAACCAGAAAGGACACTGTCTCAACGAC